GCCTCCCTAAAATGTGAATAACTAGCTAATGACCCAAGTTGCAAGAACCAAAGCAAGTGCATTCATTCAGTAAATCACGGTTAGCATGGCAAGTGAGCACAGCCACTGGCGGAGAGAGAAACGGGGTTGTGTGAACACAGCATTTGAATGGGCAGTTAAAGTAGCTCAGGGGTTTGCTTCCATCTGCCTCAGACGATCTAAGACTTGGTTTCTGTAATAGGATGGGGAACCGTGTTTGGTCTGATAGATTTTGGCAAGGCTTCACTTCCCCTCCCCAGATACGTTCCTCCACAGCACTACTGCGCTTTTATTCAATACATGTTGACAGAGCGAGTATTTAGCTCCTGCTCCGTTTGAGCCAAAATTGCCAGTTTGTGCTCAAGTTAAACTCAGTTATTTTTATGCATCACTCTTTAAGCCACTGCGATGATGAAAGAGAGTGATATATATTTACCCCCCCCCCCACACACATCCCACTACATGTTTGTGTCTGAGTTACTTACATTTTGGTTTAGGTTTATCTCTAATAACTCTGCAGAGCTTGTACACACATTCACTATTTTCCAGAAAGAGGTGCCTATATTAACAGAGTATTTTTGGGGGGAGAGGACAGAATTTTTTTGACATTGGAAAAACTAGCAAGGTTGAAAGGTTGATTACCAACAAACGTCAGTGGACTGTACCCTATCGTGATCAATGAAAAGTAATTTTTTTCTTCCTAATGTTTTCCAGAAAGTGGAGGGTCTGGATTTTTTGGGGGGAATCTATCAAATGTTGATACATTGGTTATGATAGGAATTGATCCATTGGCTTGTCATCATGTTGTGGGCTGACAGAGAGTAACTGATCCATAGCCACCCTTTTAGGTCTAAACTGTGACTAGAACTCACAGTCTCCTGGTGACTGGCTCAAATCACCCTGTGATTTTTACGCCTAAGGCAGGACAAGGATTCTCCTAGTATTGGTCCAGAGTCATCCAATTAGCTTTCACGATTGAGGTGGGACTAGAATTCACAGTCTCCTGATAAGTGGCCCAAGTCACCCAAGTAATTTTCATGCTTAAGGAAAGACAAGAATTCAATCTCCTAGTGATTGGTCCGGAGTCATCCAATTAGCTTTCATGCCTAAGGTGGGACTAGAATTCACAGTCTCCTAGTGATTGGCCCAAAGTCACCCAACTGGCTTCCACACTTAAGGCAAGACTAGAACTCACAGTCTCCTAGTGATTGGTCCAAAGGCACCCAACTGGCTTTCACACTTAAGGCAAGACTAGAACTCACAGTCTCCTAGTGATTGGTCCAAAGTCACCCAACTGGCTTTCACACTTAAGGCAAGACTAGAACTCACAGTCTCCTAGTGATTGGTCCAAAGGCACCCAACTGGCTTTCACACTTAAGGCAAGACTAGAACTCACAGTCTCCTAGTGATTGGTCCAAAGGCACCCAACTGGCTTTCACACTTAAGGCAAGACTAGAACTCACAGTCTCCTAGTGATTGGTCCAAAGTCACCCAACTGGCTTTCACACTTAAGGCAAAACTAGAACTCACAGTCTCTAGCCTGGTGCCTTATACACCAGACCAAACTGGCTCTCCATCAATGAATACTAATCTGAATATAAAACTGATCGATCCTTAAGTGCCACAAAAGCGAATGTGCAAACAGAGATGAATTAAAACCGGTGGGATTCAGGTGAGCTGCCAAGCCGTATTTGTGAAATAAACCACGATTAGCAGGATTGAGAGAATACACTCAGCCCAGCTAGCCAAGGTGCCCTCCGTACATATGGCCACTGCTAAGACTTTGGAAGTCCGCTTGCTGGAGGAGGCTGAAACTGGAGAAAGCCACACAGTCAGAGTCTTTGATTTTCAAAGCATAATAGATTTGCACAACACTCTACACAACCACAGGCTTAGCAGGAAGTATGCCTATGTGCACACCCCTTAGCAAGGAATTATGCCTTTTTGGGGAGCAATTATATTTCCACTCTGCTCGGTTATTTGTTCTTCCTTTGTACAAAAAGGGGATCCAAAACTATGAAAAAGGATTGATACCATTATAACTAGGTCATTCAACTGGAGCTTGTGACGGCAGGGGAAGGCACACACATTGCATCCAGATATGTGTAAATCTGTGTATTTATGGCCCTGTAAAAAAGCTTTTTAAGCAGTCTTGAGCAACCTGTCAGGCAAATGGAAGAGGAATTCACACTGAAGGGCCCTTGGTAAGAACTCATGCACTGATCACGAGTTCAGGTTCTGCCTTGGGCATGAAAGCCAGCTAGGTGACTTTGAGCCAGTCTTTCTCTCTCTCACTCTCTCTCTCCCTCCCTCCTCTCATTATGGTAAAATATAATAAAGGAGGGATACAATTAAGTGAGTTGATCTAAGTCAGTGGTTCTCAACCTTTTTAATGCTGCGACCCCCCAACCGGTCGTAAGTCGAGGACTACTCAACCGGTCATAAGTCGAGGACTACTCAAGTGGTGCAGCACCGTTTGCAGAATGGGACTTTTGGGGGGCTCAGCAGGGCAGAGACAGCCTGGACAATTCCTATTGGCTTTTGAAAGCCAATAGAATTAGACTCTATTCAAGAGTCTCTTCTATTGGCTTTCAAAAGCCAATAGAATAAAAGGGAGTAGCACAGCTAAGAAAAAGGGGGGAAAAAATGGCGGACTGCGTTGTTTGGCGACCCCCGTGAAATGGTTGCTTGACCCCAAATGGGGTCCCGTCCCACAGGTTGAGAACCACTGATCTAAGTTTATGGATTACAGGTAATTCTTGACTTATGAACACTATTTCCATTGCTAAGCAAGGCAGTTAACCCAGATGTGTCTGATTTTAGCATCTTTTTTTTTTTTTTAAGCATCCGGCTAAGTGAATCGTTGCTGTTAAATGAATCATCCTGTTGTTAAGCAAATCTGGTTTTCCCCCATTCAGTCAGCTGATCAGTTTCCCCCCCCCCCTCAAGACTGCAAATGGCAATCACATGACCCTGGGAGGGTGCAACGGTTTGTAAATACACACGGTATCCAAGCACCCAAATTTTATTTCTGTGACTTTGGAGCTGTTGCGACGGTTGTTAAGTGCGAGGATCGGTTGTAAATCACTTTTTTTCCCCCAGTGCCATTGTAACTTTGACCACTGCTAAATGAATGGTTGTTAAGTCAAGGACTACATCAGTGGTTCTCAACCTGTGGGTTGGGACCCCATTTGGGGTCGAACGACCATTTCACGGGGGTCGCCAAACAACGCAGTCCGCCATTTTTTTTCCCTTTTCCTTAGCTGTGCTACTCCCTTTTATTCTAGTTGGCTTTTGAAAGCCAATAGAATAGACTCTCTTGAATAGAGTCTAATTCTATTGGCTTTCAAAAGCCAATAGGAATTGTCCAGGCTGTCTCTGCCCTGCTGAGCCCGTCAAAAGTCCCGTTCTGCAAACGGGGCTGCACCAGTTGAGTAGTCCTCGACTTACGACCAGTTGGGGGTCACGGCATAGAGTCTATAGCTGTGTTCGACCTACAATTTTCTGGTCCTGCACATTGTATGTCACGATATGTTTCCTTACGACTTGGCGTCTTGGGCAAATCCAACAGACCAACCCACGTGATTTCTCAACCCTGGGCTAGAGTTGAGCCCAAGAGTTCGAAGCCAGGGTTTTATAAACCCTGGCAAACCTTCCCATCTTGGCGTTTGCCCTACAAGCTGGGCACCCTTCAAGGAACCAGCACTTCACACACACACACACGTTGCAATCTGAATTCCCCCTCGGGAGCCCCCCCCCACGTTCTCCAAAGTCTGCCAGAGAAGCCCGATGCGGGCAAAGACAGCGGGGAAAATGCATTCACACGATCACGCGCAGGACCCCTTCCCCTTCTCCCTTTGGCCAAATCGGAGCTCAACCCTGCAGGCGCGCATGGGGAAAGCGGGGGGGGGGGGGGCGAGTTTCCAAGCCAGCCCATCTGACCCAAGAGCAACCGGGGTGCGCCCTGCCCGATCCCCCACTTGCAGAAGGGGGAGAAGGAGACCGAAACGAGGAGAAAGCCCCGCCGTTTGCAGCGCGGGCGGGCGCGTCTGCTTCCTTCCTTCCTTCCTTCTCTCCCTCCCTCTCTGCCTGCTGCCTTCCTTCCTTCCTCCCTTCCTTCCTCCGTAGCTCTGGGTTCTGCTGCCTGCGCCTGGCTGGAAATGAAATACCTCAAAGCAGCCGCCGCTCCTTTTATTTCAGGAGGGCTGGGTGATTGCTTTTTTTTTTCCCTTCTCCTGGCTCTTTTTTTTGGGGGGGGGGGAGACTCCAAAAGAGCCCTTTCATGTGCCGCCCGCCTCCAATCGGCATCCAGAGGTTGCCTGCAAGTGGTCTAATCTCCATGAGGTGTCAATCACGGCCCCTGGTGGGTGCAGGAAAGTCTTTCGTAACCGCCTCTGTCTTTGGGAAGAGGGGGGGGGGCGGGCGAAGGGAGAGAGAGAAAGAGAGAGAGACTCGAGTAGCAGGAGGGAGAGAAAGAGAGAAGGCGAGAGGGAAAGAAAGAAGAGAGTGATTCGAGTCGTGGGAGAGAGGGAAAGAAAGAAGAGAGAGAGACTCGAGTGGCGAGAGAGAGAGAGAGAGAGGGAGGGAAAGAAGAGAGAGAGTCGACTAGAAGGAGAGAGAGAAGGAGAGAGGAAAAGAAAGAAGAGAGAGAGACTGGAGTGGCAGGAGAGAGAGAGGGAGAGAGAGTGAAAGGAAAGAGGCAGAGAGAGAGAGACTGGAGTGGCGGGAGAAAGAGAGAGAGAGAAGGAAAGAAGAGAGAGAGAGAGAGTCGAATAGCAGGAGAGAGGGAGAGAGAGGAATAGAAAGGAGAGAGAGAGAGAGAGAGAGAGACTGGAGTGGCAGGAGAGAGAGGGAGAGAGAGTGAAAGGAAAGAGAGAGAGACGAGTGGCGGGAGAAAGAGAGAAGGAAAGAAGAGAGAGAGAGAGTCGAATAGCAGGAGAGAGGGAGAGAGAGGAATAGAAAGGAGAGAGAGAGAGAGAGAGAGACTGGAGTGGCAGGAGAGAGAGAGAAAGAGAGAGCCGAATAGCAGGAGAGAGAGAGGGAGAGAGTAATAGAAAGAAAAGAGAGAGAGAGAGAGAGAGAGAGAGAGAGAGACAGAGAGAGGCGCAGCTGCTGTTCTCGCCGCCGCCCGGGCGCTTCGGTCTCCGCGCTGCTCCCGCCGTCGCCACTGGATGGAAGAAGCGGCCTCCGCTCGCCCCTTCCCCAGCCGGTTCGCCGCCTTGCCCCCTTCTCGCGAGTAAGCCCCGGAGAGCGAGGAGGAAGCACGTGGATTGCTAAAAGAAAAAAAAAAAAGGGGGGGGGGCTCCAGAAGGAGAAGAAGGAACTGCCACCGCCGCTGCAACCGGGACCGGGCGCCAGCTGTCCCCGCTGCCTGACTTCGGGGACCCCTCCCCGCTCTCCCCAGATCGCCGGGGCGGGAGGGAGCGAGAAGGCGGGACCCCCAGCGCCGGCCGCCAACGCTCCCCAATGCCAGCGCGAGCGCAGAGCCGGACAGAGCGATGGGGAAACTTCACTCCAAGCACGGTGAGTTGCAAAGGGGCGGCGGGAGGGCTTTGGGTGGGGGGGGGGCGCCCGCCGGACTGCGGTGGGGGGCGGTGGGGGGGTGGGAGGCCGCCGGGGAGATATGGAGCTGGGGGGGGCGAGGGGGGGGGAGGAGAGCAGCTCTTGGACCAGCTAAGCCACGATTGGGGATCTAACCATCTTTTTTTTTTTCTTTTAAACCCCCCCCCCTCACCTCACCTCTGCATTTGCCCCTCTGGATCTCTCCGCTAGCTGCTGCTTGCAAACCTCGAGAGAACCCCGAAGGTAAGCGGGGCGGCCTTGGGGGGGGGGAGGTGGGGGGAGGGGCGGCTGAGGGGGGGGGAAATAACCGGGTTTCAGGCCCTCCCCAACTTTTCCCGGCGCGGGGCTTCCTTAGAACCTTCGAAGGGGTTGCAAGGGCGTGGGGGGGGGGGGAGAAAGAAAAGTTTGCGCGCCGCTTTCCCGGCCCGCTGGCTGACAGGGTCCCGGGGCTGCTGCCTGGTCGCCCCGGTGGAAGGAGGCTGAGGGGCTGTGGGGGTGGTGGGGGGACGCTTGGGGGAGGGGGGTCTCGGGAACAGGGGGGGCCTCCCTCGCCCACTTCTCCCCCGCCGGCTCTGCTTCTCCAGGTGACAGCTTCGCCGTGAACGCCTCGCTGGCGCGGAAAGGGCTGGAGGAATGGCCGGTGAACCCCAAAGGCGACGGGGACGGCGGCTTGAGGGTCCCGCTTGAGGGCTGCCCCCACCGGGCGCTTGGCAAGGGCTCCGGCCCCAGGGTGAGTTTGTGCCTTTCCCGCTTCTCCGGCAACTCCATCCCTGACGGAGACGTCGCGGGCGCCCGCTTGCAAATGGCTGGGCCGGGCAGTGTGTGTGTTTGTGTGTGTGTGTGTGTGTGTGTTTGTGTGTGTGGAAACACTTTATCCTCTTTTGTGGGGCAGGACACCCTGAGGGTTTGGGCAGGTTTGGGCCAAGGGGCTCCTGGCTCCTGAACGTGGGAGGCAGATGGAGGGTCCTGGAATAGGGAGAGAAGGGGGGGGGGAGGTCAAAATCCGCATTACAGAGTGGGAGTTGCCTTTTAACTGGTGTCCCCTCCCTGGTCGTACCCTCAACCCCCTCCAGCGATTCTTTCTGGCCTTGCCCCTACTCTGGTGCCCTCCCATGATGGAGAGCTGCAATTCCCATCCTCCTAAAAGGGGGAAGATGCTTTCCTACGAGCTGCTGGTCCTTATTAAAGTTCGTTCCCTGAACGGATGCCCTTCCCCCAGACTTTTGAATTTAGTGCCCCTAATCCCAGAGAATAAGGTTCCCCACTCCCAAAAATTGGGGTGGAAGGCATCTGGAGAGCTCCCAGGGTTTTTTTTCCCCCCTTGATTGAGCACCCCCCCCCCTTCGGTCCCTCCCTGTGACTTGGCTGCCAAAAGGCCTTGGGATTTTCCCAGGGCGTTTTGGAGGTGGCCAGTTCCGGTTCCTTGTTTGGTAGCTTGACTTCTTGACGGGGGGGGGGGCCCTGCGGAGGGGCGTGGAAAAGGAAGATGTTTTCTGATCTTCCAGATGTTGCTCTGAGTCGCTCAGGGATCCGCTTATTCGTCATTGGCTTGCTTGCTCCCAGGCGTGCAGTGTGATTGAAACTATGGTGGCTTGTCAGCTGGGTGGGAGGCTGATTCCCACGCGCAAGGACAGCCGGTGGTGGAACCCACAATGCTTAATTAAACCATGGCTTGTGAGCGCAGCCCCCTGTAGCTGAGGTACCCTTTTTCTTTTTTGCAGGAGCCTTTAGCTCAGGGGTCCTCAAACCTGGCCACTTTAAGACTGGTGGACTTCAACTCCCAGAATTCCCCAGCCAGTCACAAGTCTTAAAGTGGCCAAGTTTGAGGACCCCTGCTTTAGCCTAACTTTGGGGATTCTGTCCCCGGTTAGTTTCACCCAAACTGGTAGTCCTCCACTTACGACGCCAATTGAGCCCGGCGTTTCTGTTGCTAAGTGAGACAAGTGTTAAGTGAGTTTGGCCCCATTTTATGACTCTTCTTAGTTCCCCAGTCAAACGAATCTGGCTTCCCTCACTGACTTTGCTTGTCGGACAGTCACAAAAAGGGGATTGTGTGCCTCCAGGACATTGCGACCGTTCATAAATATGAATCACTTTCCACGTGTCTGAATTTTGCTCACGTAACTAAGGGGATGCTACAACGGCCGTAAGCGTGAAAAATGGACATAAGTCCCGTTTTTCCGTGTTGTAACTTTGACCGGTCACTAAATGAACTGTCATAAGTCAAGGACTTGCCTGTATGTTGGATCCATTTCCCATCATTTCCAGTGTCTTGTTGGTTGAGGATGAGGAGAGCTGAATCCTACACCCACAGAGGCTATGGCGTTGGAGAAGGCTGGGCTAAAATTGTTAACGCAACAGTGCCAAAAATGCTGTTCTACAAAACTGCCTTTAGGCTTGCAATAAGTTAAGTTCTTTGCCTTGATCCCCTGCTAGAGATTTGCAGAGTGCTTTGCAGTTGGGCAAGTCTGCTAAAATATGAGATGAAAATAACGAAATAATAGGCAGGTTTTTGCAAAAGTATCAAACATGTTTTCCTGAACATCTGGATTTCAGTTTTCCCTGCTTCCAAAAGAGAGAAGAGAGAAATGTTTTTTTTTTAATTATTATTTTAAATTTGGAGGCACACCTGAACTCTTGTGTCAAGATGGAGAAACGGTTGCCATCCAGATGTTGCCGAACTAGAGTTTCTGTCACCCTTTTTTTATCAGGCGGATTACCTCTGACTGTTGGGAACCGAAGCTCATAAACATCTGGGGGGGCTACATGTTTCCCATCCTTGCTGTAAAGAGTCTTTTCTTTCGTATGCTTTAAGAAAGTCTGGTGGCTTTGGCATAATGAAAGATAATGTTTTAATTGAAAGCTGTGGATTTGGTTTTGTCCCTGACTGAGACACCAGAGCTTTTTTCTTAAAAATATGTGTATACATGACAAACTGGGGGTTTTTAAAGCAGCTTTATAGCTTTATCCTCAAATTTGCTGGCCTTAGGTCTGTTTTAACAAGCCGAGATTTATTATTTGCAGCTGGAAACCATGTTTCACCAAGCTTTCTGGTCATCTGGAGACAGCTCTTACTAACATTGAGCACTCCCCTGTGGCGGTGCATAAGAGATTCCCTGGCGTTTTAAATTTAAATAAAGCACATACAGACATGGCCCTCTTGGTTTTTGTGGGGGGGGGAGTAGTGAAATTCCACCCCTGGTGATGTCATCATGCAAATGAGGTAAATTATGCAGATGGCCTCATTTACATGGTGCTGATGTCATCAGGCATACAATCTGCAGCTGCTTAGCTTGGTCTGGACCCTTAAACACATTTGACGTTAAGAGCATACGTGCAGCTAATTCCCGATTTAGGACAGTTCATTTAGTGGCCATTACAACGGGACTGGAAAAAAGAGACTTATGATCATTTTTCACTTATAGACTAGACTAGACTAGACTAGACTAGACTAGACTAGACTAGACTAGACTAGAAGCTAAAATAGAAATAGAAATAGAATAGGAGCTGGAATAGAATAGGAGCTGGAATAGAATATAGTAGAGTAGAGTAGAATAGAATAATGAATAGAATAATGAATAGAATAGAATAATGAGTAGAGTAGAATAGAATAGAATAATGAATAATGAATAGAATAGAATAATGAACAGAGTAGAGTAGAATAGAATAGAATAATGAATAGAATATAGAGTAGAATAGAATAGAATAATGAATAGTATAGAATAATGAACAGTAGAATAGAATAGAATAGAGTAGAATAATGAATAGAATAGAATAATGAATAGAGTAGAATAATGAATAGAGTAGAATAATGAATAGAGTAGAATAATGAATAGAGTAGAGTAGAATAGAATAATGAATAGAGTAGAGTAGAGTAGAATAGAATAGAATAATGAATAGAATAATGAATAGAGTAGAGTAGAATAGAATACAATAGAATAATGAATAGAGTAAAGTAGAATAGAATAGAATAATGAATAGAGTAGAGTAGAATAGAATAGAATAATGAATAGAGTAGAGTAGAATAGAATAATGAATAGAGTAAAGTAGAATAGACCTTGGAGAGCTTCTAGTCCAGCCCCCTGCTCAAGCAGGAGGACCTATATCATCTTAAGTGCCTCTTATGACCTTTGTAGCCTCCCCGTGATCATGTGATCCAAATTCAGATGCTTGGCAACTGGTTCACACTTACGACCGCTGCTGTGTCCCAAAGTCACCCGATCCCCTTTTGCAACCTTCTGGCAAGCAAAATCAATGGGGGAAGCCAAATTCACTTAACCGGCTTACTAACAGCTGCAGGGATTCACAACCCCCGTGGCAAGAAAGGTCATGACCTGGGGCAAAACTCACTTAACAAATGTCTCGCTTAACAGAAAATTTGGATTCCATTGTGGTCGTAAGTTGAGGGCTGCCTGTATCTTTTGCGTAGTGATGGTGATGGTGGATTGTATCAATACTGGCTCTTCTTTGATAACCTTAAAGATACTAGGTAACTGGGACCTATTCTGCAATATAGATGCAAACGTGCAGAGCTTTCACTTTCATTCAGACAAGGTGGAAGTTTGGTTCTTGGCCAAACTGTTCAGTTGTGGGTTGTTTACGGAGGAGGCAGTGTGGTTTAGTAGCTATAAGATGTTGGGTTGGATCTGGGGAGACTGAGAGGAACGCTTCCATTTAGACATGACGGTTACTCCCTCCGAATCCCGCAGCATTCTCTCTGCAGGATTAAAATTACGGATTAAATTACACACACACAATAATCTTTCTCTCTTTTTTCCTGGTTGATGTTCATTTGGTCGTTCCCCATCTCCGGTCCTTTGAAGAAGAAATAAGCCAAAAGTGGAACATTCATTCTGTCGGAGTTTAAATTCTCTTGCTGAATAAGTTAATTTAGCGTAGTTCCAAATACTTGTTATAACTTTATGAAGCCATGGTTTTTTTTTTCCAATGAACAGCATAGCAATTAGATCCACTCTTCCTCTCATTTCTTTTTAAGGGGATCTTCCAAAGAATCTTGATTGTACTGCCTTCTTCATCTTCTTCTTGTGCCATATCCGTTATCGGACGTTGGCGATCATGTTGGCGATCCTGTTTTTATCAGCAGCCTACAACTTTCAAATGCCAATTTTTTTTTTTTATGCTGACCTCTTGGTTTACATACAAAGTTCAGTGCTCTGGCTTATCTATCACGGTGGATGAGAGATGCATAAACTGGCAATATCCTGAGAAACATACCCACAGTGAACTGAGGGACAGACTAGATTGCTCAGGTCTGTTGCCCCTGAAATTGGTGCAGAAAAAAAGTCCTGTAGCCTAAATCTTGGTGTCCAAATGTGCTTTTTCAACAGGCAACTTGACTTCAGACTTTTTGACCTTCAGTCAGAGCTGAAGAAGCTTCTTGGATGAGAAGCGAAACGTCTTCAAAGAAAAACAAAGTCCAGTTGTCTCTTGAAAAAGGCTAACATCTCCATTAACACCATGTTAAGCTTGATTAGAATTTACCCTGGATAGACTGGTTGTTTTTTTTTGTTTTTTTTTTGAAGCTTATCACTTCGTACAAGCCCTTTTAGCACGTTACACTAACCATGGGTGCGGAAAGGCAGTTCGGTGTAAATGTCTTTGGAGATTCTCAATTATCCAGGTCTGCAGTTGTCCCAAAGGCGTTTTTTGAAGAGGCAACTGGATTTTCCTTGGTTTTTTTTCCCTTGAAAATGTTTCACTTCTCATCCA